TTTTTTTTTTTTTTTTTTTTGCTGGAACCTGGGTTCAGCCACCCGTTGATTGAGTCTGTCTTGTCTATCTGTGCTTTGTTTTCTGTTGTCCTGTCCTGTAGAGGATTCTGCCGAGAAGCCGAAGGAGTCGTGGTGGTCCCGCGTAATGGAACTTCCTCGGGGCCTTCGCAGCAAAGTGGACCGTCTTTTCAAGCGAGTAGAACCTGTTCCCATCTCAGGTGCAGTCTCGCTTGCGCTATGTACGTCCTTTCCTAGGCTTCTCTCTTCTCTCTTCTCTCTTCTCTCTTCCCTCTCCTCTCTTCTCTCTCCTCGCTCCTCGCTTCTCCCTTATCGCTTCTTTGTTCTGCTTACAGTGTTACACACATCATCCTTCAATTCCTTTTTTTTTCTCGTATATATGTACACATAATTGAAACATTAGTACTTCTTATGATTACAGCATAAATTATGTCAAGTCCATAATAACGACTCCATATTGTTTGTGTCTCGCTCACGGGTGTGAATTCACTAGGGCCTCAATTTTGGGGTCCCCCTCTGTGTGCTCGATTTTGTGTCTCCTCGATGTGGTTANTTTTGGGGTCCCCCTCTGTGTGCTCGATTTTGTGTCTCCTCGATGTGGTTAATTTTGGAGGTCCCTTGTGGTGTGTGGGAGAGTGCTGGCAGTAGACACTACTGTTACTTGATGGGGGTAGGGGAAGTAGGTAGGAGTCACAGCTACTGGCAAAATGCTCGGGCTTTGCGTTTGCTCCCCCGCCCCCCCCCTGTCTCCTCCCCTACTTCCTGACCACCACGGATTAGGGCGGGGGCCGTCATGCATTCATGCATCCCCTTGATTGTGAGAGGTAGCAATGCTTGCAGGGGTATCCTGTATAGCCTTAGGAGTAGTGGTGGGTAGGTAGGTAGGTAGTGAAAGGTGTAATTGAGCGAAGAATATAGCTTGGTTAAAAAAATAACATAGAAGTGATAGTCACACAAGGACCTTCCCGAATGGATCTGGACTGTGATTATGGCCGGATTCAGTTGAAAAAATCCGTGTGTGATTACTGGTAGGTGAGTTCATCATTGCCGTCTTTAACTTTTCTTTTTTCTTTTTTCATGTGCGGTTGTTTGTGCAGAAGCTGGACGAATTCGCTCAGAGTACTCCAAGGCCCACAGCAGATCGACTGAACTGTCGAGGAGAATCAGCGTATTGGAAGAGAACTTGGAGAGGGATTACGGTGAGTAAAAAATCTGAGTATACTTATGCAGGAGCTCTTTATTGGAGCTATGATGTCGATGGCACACATTATGGCATTTTTCCGGAATTTTTACGTGATATATTTCACTGTTTTTTTTTAACTCAAAATTTAAAAACTTTTTTTTTTTTTTGTAACACAATACTTCATTGTTTTCACAGCAACCTTATATGATTATTGGGACAATTCAATTTCACAGCAAATGAATGGGACCAATGAGTTGCTTCGATCCGGTTCGATTCATAAGGCAGGGCTCGACCTCGAGGCAATGCCTTTTTATTTTTTTCCCATCACAATGCACGGAATATGAGCAAGAGCGAGAGACAGAAATCCAAGTTGCAAAATCACAAAGTAGTCCAGATAGTAATGTACCAAGCAGAGAGCACAAATGCACCAAGATACCTTCCAAGTAAGAGCAATACAATGAACTCACAAGTCAATATCGACACTCTCTGGCCACACCAACACAGTATCCAATGTCTCTCCTACAGTCTGGCGCCCAGAGCCCAGCGCCCAGCCTACACTACTCAGCCTACGTACACCCATCTACGTTCATGCAACTTGATCACATCGAAGCTGAAGAACAATGTATGGGATGTCATCATCAATGCCGACCGCCAGCATGCACCAGGTATGTTCTCTCTCCTGCCCTCATCAGACCCTGTCTCCCCTCTGCATGCACCTTCTACCCAAAGACCACCATTGACATCACCTGCCACCGCATCGCTCGGCCCGGCTATGGCCACCGTGCGCCCGCTGCCGCCGCAGCGCCCTCTCACCTATTGTGCCCGCGTGCGCCCGGGCCTGGCTGCTTAGCTCAGCGTCTGCTTTCCCCTTCAGTCTTCATTCGTACTCAGCCACGATCTGAGGTGCCGTTCTGACAAGCTCCTCTCTTGTGAACCAACAATCTTCCTTTGGATCCGTATGATGCCTGAATCTGACCCGGTACTCCCTCATAGGTGCGGGGGGTCTTCCCGTGGCCACAGGCTTGGGAACAGGCAAGTGTCTATGTTCGATGATGTCGTCGATGTCCACATGGCCATCCATGGTTGGGGGCAGCATTGACCTCCCTGATGGGAACTGATCTGTCTCAGCGAAAGGTGCAAGCATGGAAGCGTGGAATACAGGGTAAGTGAGCAGGTGACCAGGGATTCTTATGACATACGAGGGTCCGTCCAAATCACTACCCACAATATCCAGGACATACCAAGGACCAAAATACTGTGGCATTAGCTTTCTGGAGATTCCGAATCACGTTCCCCTACCTGAAATGTGGACTGTCGTCTGTGTTTGTTATCAGAGGCAATCATTGCCTCCTAAGATTTCCTGATGTGTTCGATGGCCCGCCAAACTCTATGGTTCCAGGTGTTGCAGTTGGTTGGTTTTAAGGAAGGAGGAAGTCTAGTGCAGATCTAGGCTTCCACCGCAAATGCAGCTGATTAGGGCTGACGTCGGTGGTGCTGTGTACAGCGTTATTGTACAGGCTGGCAATTAGAAACAGTTTCTCATCCCAGTCATCCTGGCTGGGCTTGATGTGATGCCTCAGCAAATGCTGCGCCACGCGGTTCATCTGTTCCGCTTTGCTGTTTGCTTCGGGATGATTTCCCGAAGTCATTTGGAGTTGGCTGCCCATCCGTTCAGCAGCCCTTTTCTACATCTGGCTGGTAAATCGGACATCTCTGTCACTAAAATAGCTACGCTGGACCAGACCGCGGAACCCGGACCTCTCGGGCCCTTCCGGGCTTCCGGAACACCAGAATTCGCCGGAGGATCCAGACTTCCTTTCCGGATGCCTGTCTGGATCCCCTGTATTTTCCGTGGGGGGGGAAAAAACTGCTTACATACATACATTACCTCGGTGTGTGTGTAGGATGAGCAAAGTCGGAATGAATCTTCAGCCAGCACATGGAAATATACACTGCCACACTTGTTTTTTTTTTTTTTTTTTTGATGTCTGCATCAACTGAGCAGCCTGCCAATGTGCAAAATGAGAAGGAATCTTCTGCAAGAACATAGGAAGATACACCGCGACGGACAGACACATTGAAAAGAAATCACGGTGTATGGACTAAGGTCCTGTCAGATGCAAATGTCGCCGAGAGAGAGAGAGAGAGAGAGAGAGAGAGAGAGAGAGAGAGAGAGAGAGAGAGAGAGAGAGAGAGAGTTTTCCAGCCATGCACACAGAGAGATAGAGAGAGGCTACTTC